AATAGACCCGTCCAATGTTGTATGTCGCAATGATTGTGTGGCCTTTGTTGCACTTTTTCCTTCTTCGACATGCGATGATTGTCTTAACTTGTCCAGTTTTTCGCTAGCTCTTCCCCCTCGTTAGGAGAGCTGTTCGCACACCTTGCTTCTTCTTCCATTCCTCTGCCACCCTTGTCCTTTCTTATTCTTAGCCACTCTTTGTTTCTCTTGTCCTCCCTTCGAAGTCCTTTCCTTCTTCCTCATCTTTCCCTCCCTGGTACTTGATTGCGTTTGCCGCTCCGGGATGGGGTCATGCTAAGAGGCGTGACGTGACGTAGGTATACAGGTACTTCCCGCCTGCTCTCTTTCTCCACAGTGTCTTCCGTATTTTCCTCTACTTCTTTTTCCCGCTTCTCGTTCCTTTGTCTTTTCCTATCTATAGAAAAGACCCACTTTTCCTCCCTGCTTGTCAAAGTTCTCGAATCCTTCTCTTTTCTCCTCCCTTCTTCCCTTGTGGAGGTTTGTCTCCTTCCGAGCTTGGGGGGCCACACCCGGAGGCGTGGCGTGACGTGGCTTCACGTGCACCTGGGCTGCATTCTCTTTCTCGCCACTCTTCTGTTTGAATTGAAACGAAAGCACACGAAGCTTCGCGCGGGGTGAAAACGCGCACTTGGTTCGCCGTGGGTGCGAAAATTTGCGGTTGCACGGGTGTGGGGCTTAGCAGCGCGGTCGAGCGCTTACCGGAGCGGCACTCCTGCAGTTCCTCCTTGTTGCCTAGTTCAGCTAACCCTATTTTGTTGAACCAATTTTTTTTCTTCTGGTAGCCTGAAAGTCAGGCCTATACGGTCATGGAGTGTCTCTGGCCATTTGGTGTAGGGTTTGGTGCGCATATGTTTTTTGACACTTACGTGGGCAAAAGCATTCTATTTTATGATTTGGAATTTATTTCCAACATTTTTCGCTGATTCAGCAGAATACTACCCTCGGTCCCTAATATTTTTTGGATTTTTCTGGTCAACAGAAATGGGACTGAAAAATCCCCGAAGTTGGGGTACATGAAATTTTGCGCACCCCCAGGTACACTGACGGGGTCCGGTAGGCCCAGCCTTTCGACAACCTTCTCATCCACCTTCACATTTTTTACTTGCCTGGGGCCCATGTTGCTGGTTTAAGCCTTAAACCACAAGCAATTGTGATGTACGGACATATTTTACTTTTTGAGCGAAATTGAAATCTCATTTTTTGGCCAAAATTTCATGAAATTGAGGGTACGGCGTTCTGAAACCGCCCTACCCCCTCAATTTCTTTCAAAAAATAAAATATGTCCGTTTTGACGAAATCGCTGTTCAGTTACCTTTCCCAGCTTGACAAAAAAAAGACTGTGCCTGTTAAACCACCAGCCCCCCCAATGTCGGAAAATTTGGGGGACCGGTAGGCCGATAATAGTAATTCACCTTCGGCCTACCGGTAGTACAGGGTGGGCCTCACTTCGTTCTTGTTTTTTGTTTTTGTTTTTCACTCTGCAAAAAGACAACGAAAGCGAAACTGTGGGTACCACCGCATTTCGCGCCTCACTCCACTGCCCCTGACCCGCATGGAAAACGGAAATGATTGCGGTGTATATTTCCATGTTGTGCTGCAAGGTTCACCGCCTGGCTTTTTTTTTTTTTTTTCCCACAAACAGAACAAAAGAAAAACAAAAATGCAGCGCCTCTTTCTAAAAACAAGCGCCTGAATTGGAAACCGCACGCCGACTTTTTCTCAACTTCAAATGCCTTTTTTTAAGGGTYTTTTTTTTTTTTTTTGTGTGTGTGTGTGGTCGCCGACCCCGCGTCGTTCACGGTCCTAACTCCCCGGAAAATCGACTTTAGGCTGTCGGGGGGGTAGTTTAACATGGAAGTTCAGGCGCACGGCAAAATGGCTGGCGGTGCCAGCCAGACACATCCGTGTTGGTTTGTTTTTCTCAGGCACGAAGGGCAAATTCAGGACTGCAGCCGATGTATGGGAAAGGTATTGGTGGTTTACACCACCAGTACATTGAGCTATCGGCCTGGGGCTCTTTCCGGAGGCCGCGCGCTGCCGATTTGATTTATCTACGGTGCTGGGCCTCCGAAAATTTTGTAGGCGACGAGTTTTCTTTTCAGCAAGGCTGGGGCCGTGTACTGGCGGGTTAAGGTCACTGACTGATGAATCTCTGCAGTAAAACCTTGCGTGGTGGCGGTTTTTTAGGTTATTGTTATTATTATTAATGTTGTCCATACTTGCGGTGCACCTCTGTGGTGCACCGTGTGGTGCGGTGCGCGCAGCAGTGTGTGTGGATAGGTGATGCACGTGCAAAATGGGCACAGGTGCAGTGCGCTGGGTGCATGTAGGGGAAGGGGGATATCAATGGGGCTTAATGGGGCTTGTGGGGGTTTGAGGGGAATACCTTAGTTTTGTTTTTTTCCCTTTTTCTTTTTTTCTTTTTTTTCATTTTCGATTCAGTAAGGAATTCTCAGGTGACACTCAGCTGTTGCTCAAGATTTTTTTTGTTATTTATTTATTTATTTTCAAAGAAAAAGCATGCTTTATTATATATGGAGCAAAAGGAGGCCGGGAATCCCTCCACATCTCAACCCGGAAGACTGGGGCCATTACCCAGGTTTTGACTCTTGCTGTAACCCGGGCCCAGTTACCTTCTCTCCTATGATGCTTCATGCTATTCTGAAACAAAGAGTAAAACTGGATTAACAAAAGATAAAATAGCGAAGGTGAAATAACCTGTGTACTAACTTTCCATCCGTCCCCATCTTGGGCCCTAGAACCGACCGCTGTGACTCATCTTTCCCTTTACCCCCGATGCCTCCTCCTCTCTGTCCACTCCACTTAAACCCTACGGAGCGGACAATTCGCTCTATCCTAAAACCTAGCCTAACCTAGCTATCTCTTCCAAAGGTCGAAACACTATGACTAGCCTTCCACTATTGCTGTCTTACCTATACCTTTTAAATAACTCTTCAATACGCCAAACCCTCATTGCCTCTTGTTTGAACCGTCTATCTTTCAAAACAGTGGAAACTCAGCGTCAAGCCTACTAATGTTGCTATCTTCCCTTGGAGCAAAACCCTCTTTTGAAATTTTTCCGTTAGGTCCTTGGCTTGCATTGGGTTTTGCTGGGCCTGCTTGCGGATTCCTTTCCATTGAGCCCGGATGTCTGTTTCCACTAGATTGTAGAGCGTCTCCTTCGATCCTTGCCTGTGCATTTGCTTATTTCCGATGGCCTGCTGGCATCTGCGCTTCCATATCGTCCATAGTACGTATTGCCTTATAAGCTGGAAAGTGCGCTTCTGGTACTGAGGCCCTACCGCAGGAGGGTCACTTCCTATCAGAAGCATCTCCTCTCCCTCGGGAAGGGGGGTGCTCTGACAAATCATTGACTGTGTTTCCCTAAACTGCAAGCGTTGCATTCAGTGTGGTGAGTGTAGATGATTGTGTTCTCCTAGATTCTAATCATTAGGTTAAGTCTTGTTAGTATATTGTGTTCTCCTAGATTCTAATCGTTAGGTTAAGTCTTGTTAGTATAGAGTAGTACTGGTCACGAAAGTTTGGGGCATGTAATTGGTACTTTGTGGACTGGTGATTCGACGAGTAGGGTTGTGATATTTTTAATTAGGGTTGGTGTCCATTGTGTTAGTGCTTTTAGGATGATTGCCGAAGTGTTACCTTGTTGTTAGTCCGTGGGTAGTGGGGATTTTGTGTGTGTTTTTGGTTGGTAGTGGGTAAGTAGGATTGAACTATTGAATATCTCGTTTACGTGTTTTTGGTTGGTAGTTTGTTATCTAGCTTGGATTTCGCTAGATTAGGGTTGTTTGATAATGGTGGTTTGGAGAAGGGGTTGATTAGGAATTGACTTATGTTAAATTAGAGAACGCGAATTTTGTTTTAGGGTTGGGATTGGGATCATCGGTTTCGTAACCTTGTGGGGCTGTGGTGGGGATAGGTATGGCCGGGAGTGCCTTGCTTAGGCCGTTTGACCGCAGCAAATGATGTAAGGGACACCGGGCCCGTTTCCCGGCTATAAAAAAGACAAGAAAAATAAAGTATCCGGGCCGGATCAGATGGAAAAGTTGTTGGCATTGCAATTCTACACAACTGTCACAACATAGTTTTTTGGAAAATTCTCCAGATTTTTTTTGCTTTTCTACTAGGCTACCAGAGTGGCCCAGGACCACTTGCCCGGCTGGGCCCAAAAAAAATAAAAATAAAAAACAAAAATTGTTTTTTTTGTTTAAATTTAAATTTGGTAAAGAATTTCGATGTGACCCTGAGGCAAAAGTTGTTCAGTTTAGTTTTCAGATTTTTCTGCATAACATAATTGTTTTTCAGATTTTTTTTTTTTTGCTAGGACCTTCTATAGCCCTTGCACGGCCGGGCAGCCCGGGCAGCCTGGCTGGTAGCCTAGCTTTTTCAAGTTTTTTTTTGTATTTGCGCTGGGGCTGCCCGGGACCTCGCACCCGAAGGTCCTACCAATCTCTCTCTCTCTCTCTCTCTCTCTCTCTCTCTCTCTCTCTCTCTCTCCCTCTCTCTCTCTCTCTCTCTCTCTCTCTCTCTTGCGCGCACGAGCACGTGCACAGACAATTTTGGTTTTCCAAACATTGCACAATTTGTTTTTGGGAGGCAAGGGCGGGGTTGCCACTATCTCCCACTGCCCTCCTTTTCTTTTACCAACACCCATATTTTTTCGTGTGTTGTTCAAGTGCAGTGCGTGTGAGTGGATGACATTTGTGGATTTTGCTTGCATTCTATGGACCGCAAGTATGAGTTGTACTAATGGGCGAATTTGAGTACAAAATTCCTCTCATTCCAGACCAGTGGGTCTTATGATGTTTCATGTCACTTCCCAACTCCCAGTCAATCTCTTTCTCTACGGACCCCATACTATTCGTTGATTTGTTTGTTTTTCCTATCGAGAAGTCAGTTTTTGCTGGTCTGAGGTCTTTAGTCTCATAGCTGTGGGTATTTTGCGTGCGTGTTCGTATCAGAATATCGGCGAAGCTACAGATGCAGTCTGCCAAATCACCCCCAGGATTGTTGTAATGGATGCCCACTGCCAGAACTGGTGGCCCAAGCTAGACCAGACCTGCGCAGACCTGTGTACAGGAATCTTCATCGATGATGACCCCTCTGCATATCACAATTGTAAGTGGCCAAGAGTGGGAGCAATTGGAAACAGTTGCCCATGATGTGTACGAAACCCTCCGCATGGTGTTAATCCACTGGAGGAATGCCATGCTGCCCCACATAATCCTATTCATACCTGGTTCGCCGTACGCATGTATGTTTGTGATCGTACAAGTTGCAATCACTTTGTTCATGATGGATGATAAATGAAGCAGTAATGCCATGTGCGCTTGAGGGCAAGAACCTTTGCAGGGTCAATCCTGGGAACAACCCACTTGTTTTATGTCTCTGCCTGCCTGGCCTCTCTGCCGGAGGGGAGAGAGAGAGAGAGAGAGAGAGAGAGAGAGAGAGAGAGAGAGAGAGAGAGAGAGAGAGAGAGAGAGA